AATACTCCTCCGGGACTGGGACTATTGTCACGTTCGCAACTGAAATGGAAAAGCGTAAAACCGACAAATAAAATTCCATAATTTTAATAGTTCATCTGTTATATATAACAATTAACTATTAATTTTGCAAACATAGTTATATTACTTGCAAATTTTGATCAATAACGAAGTAAGTATATGAGTCGAGCGTAGCTTCGTGCGAGGGAGATTACTAGAATAACAATAGACCACTACTATGGTTGACCATACAAACAACTATTAGACCAACGCCGAAAAGTGTTTCTTTGTTCTTTATATTTTCGCGATGGTATAGTGGAGTGTAGGGTAAGCGTACATGACAATGACTTGTTTATGATATTTTGGGCGCGACCGAACAAGACGCGGCGCCGACTTTGTGATCTTATCGTGTCATGGCAATGCCATCTTCCAAAGCACTAAGACACAATTAATAGTCGATTTTGGTTGATGATTAATTTTACGCATTTCTCAAATGACTTTCTCCAACATAAAGATGGTAAACATTTGTTTACGTTAGTCAATATTTCAAAAACATTTTTACGCAAACCCAAAAGAGGCTTGGAAATGCCAGGGTGGTAAAACTACTCTAAGAAGTTGAGATGGAAACAAGTCAAACTTTTGTTGGGTCAATTTTGCCTTCGGACCTGATCGAAATGTCACAAGCAAGTCCACGAGCTTTTCATATTTAATTCAGTTTCACCTGCTTTTCCGATAAGTCAATTTTTGGTTTTCAGAAATGAAAGAAACTTTGTGAAACTCTCAAGATTCTTTTTTTTTAATTTGACGGGCATATATACCTATTGAAGTGTTCTTCTGGTAGCAAATTATCATGCAATACATTTGTGGTGTACAATGCCAATATCACTATTTACGGTTTGAAATGTTGTGTATGTTTAGATGAATTTAGCTAACTGAGCGAAATACGAATACGCAACTGGGATTATAAGTTTTCTCAAAATGATATAGATTTTTGTATTGTAAACTTTATAGTAGGTATATTTTAATTTCTACATGATTTCGGAATGCTTTACTACGTATTGTTATTTGCAAGTAACCACCAATCATAACTTTATATCGGGAAAGCTGCAACGTCCGGTATCATCGCAGTCCTACCACCTCAGCATAAATTTCGTTGGATTAACCGAGTGTAGAGCGTAGAGGTTAGGTTAGAGTTAGTACCTATATCAACCGGCTGATAGAGTTAAGAGTGCGAACGCAGATAATTTTATTTATTTTGCATAGTTATTGTAAATAGTTAGTAAGTTGATATTAAACTCTGAAATTGCTGAGACCGACTTGATCGACCCGACATGGGTTTCTATTTATCCTACCTAAACACGTGAATAGAGTAATATGTTTATTGGGATGTTTTTAGCCATAGAACCGGTTTTTGCTAATGTATATATTCCTCTTAGTACCATCTAAAGGGGGCTAAATGTTATTTGGTTGTAAATTTTATTTGAGATAGACTAATATTACAAGGATTTTTCATTTCTGGGGCACTCGCGAATAAAACCTCGCCGAGTTAAGTATGATATTTCTTTCTGAAGTTTGCAGCCTCGTTTTCCGCTTTGTATCGTGCAAAAAGGACGCTCAGGTGCATTTCCGGGGACTAGTGTATTATTTATTCTTTAAATTGTCGGCTTATACTGGACCCTCGAAACAAACGAATCTCGCGCATGAGTGCGCAACACCGTGCAAATATGCATACTAATGTAAGCATAAACATTCCTGAACATGCGGGAAATAAATTACACACATCTTGCTCCTTTCCTACTATTGTATAAAAATTGTGCCCAATAGAAGCTACTTTTCTAATTATTATTTAGTACGCCTCTAAGCTTGTTTAATTTCAGTTTAACATTTTAGCCAATTGTTAATTAAGGGAGTAGCGGACATGGGCAGCAAGTTGAAGTTGGATGTTGAATGTTTTGAATGAAAAGTGACGTGTTCACGCAAATCCTTTCAGCATTCATACCCTTGGCGTGGTTGGAGTGCGAATGACAAGACTTCAACATTTGTTAAAACGCAATATCTGCCGGGTGAAAGTTGCACAACGCTTTTGACTTGGTATTTATAAATGATAAAATTTCGAAAGTTAATTCCTAGTGTACTATAAAACTAACTTTCGTAATTTATAATTTTAGCAGTTTAGCTTTTAGCGTATCTTATACTTATCCTTCCTAATAGACTGCGAATTTCATGACGTCGTGTACAAGTCCCAAGAGTACGCAATGAATGGGCCACGTTTATTGTATGTGGTTTGATAGTCTCAAACCTGGCAAGAGGAACAAACACGCCTTTCTATTTTCAACAAAAGTTGAGATTGTTGCAATATGAACAATATAAATCTCAAACTCAAACTAAAATACGTTAAATTATTATAGGCAACCAGTCGCAGTACAATTAAAATGTAGCTGAGAAATGCACCAGCATTAGGGGTTTTGGTTGATTCTGTAACTTTAATCATATTTAATGAGGCTACGCTGCTCATTACGTTATATAATAGTTGTGCACAATTCTTAATTTAAAATAATAACGTAATAGCGGTCATGATCCCATCTCACGATTATGCGCTAGAAACGTGTAAAACGTATTATAAAATTATTATATGAATTAAACTGTACCCAAAATATGTATAAACGAATCTCGAGATTGTACTACTGCATGCAATTTTAAAGTTTAGTTTTAAAAAACCGCAAAACCGCACCTTGGTTTTCTCTGGAATAAAGCTATTAGTGTGAAGCTGAATGATATATGTCGGGTACCGATTATTTCCAACTCTTTCACAGAAATTCCATATTCAAAGCTAACGTATTTATTTTATTTCAAAATTATTGAATAAGAGAAACTTATGATTACAGTCAAGCACCGATATTCCAAATTTGATTGTTTAATTCTTCTTTATTTCGTTGATTAGAACTTGGTACTAATATATTCCCCATGTGAGATCGAGGGTTTACTATTCAATTCACCTTTATTGGTAGTGGAATGGTACATGTATGTACAGGATTTCTACTATGTAAAGAATTTCCAGAATTCTTAAAAAAAATTAAATATGCAATGAAAATTTTTTATCTGCTCTAATAATTTAATAATTAAATGCAAGTAAGTACACAACAATGTAGAAAAGGTTATGACAAGTTATTCGCAAACGTCTACTTGAGTGAAAATTTTATTGCCGCGTTGGTGTGTCAGGGGACAAACGCGCAGTTGGAGTTTGCACGTTCGATCCAAAGTGCTGCAAATGTGAGGGTAACAATTTCTAAACGGCTTTCATATTTTCCTCTCATAGCTACTATTAAAAACTGGCAAAGTTACTGGGTATATGATACTTGTTTTATTTCAACGCTCTTAGTTACTCTTTAGTTTCGAGTATTTCCCTGTATTTTCATTAACCCGATAGTATGATAACGCCAATTCAATATTGATTTACGCGGTAGATCCACATTTGTTTGACAGAAGGAAATAATCAATCGCTATCAGTCCTCGGAAGCATCATAAACCCGAAAATGATTTTCAGACACGTGTGAAAACAACACTAATACGAGACAAATGAATTCATTCCGCACTGAAGTTAATGACGTAATATTGGGAAACTTGCTTCATTTTGTTTTTTGCTTAATTACTGTACATGAGTTATCATTAATCACTGTTTGGTTTCATTTACCTGTTGAATGGAAATAATACCAAAATTGCTCTGAGACTAATTAGTAAACCGATTAATAAATAAAGAGCGCGTTTCACCAGCGACACTAGCGACACCCTTTGCTTCGATTTTTTTAAAAATGAATTAAAATTCAAAAATTTAAATGAATTAGATTCATATTATTGGATTATATAGCCTTAATGCTCATATGACGGAAAATTAAAATTTCCCTGTAAATACATTCCTACTATACGTATGTTTAGTAATAAGATTAAACGCCCGCTCTGCACGCTTCGGCAACTTCCTCAACACCGTTGGTGGTCGTGAAGGCTTCTTTATATTTGGGATCGGTTAGAAACCTCCTAAAAAGGGAATAAAAGGGTATATACTCATAGACTTTTCAGCCATGTCTGGATAACTAAACTTTTAAACAAAATATGTGATATTATATCTGATATGTGGGTATTTTTGTGTCGGTACCTGCGCGGAACTCAGGTTTTAGGAAAACCTTCATATCACAATAATTTATTAATAAAACATTAAAAAATTAAATAGCAACTTCAATAATCAGTAAATAACAATAGTAAATCACAATGTTTGTTAAAATTCCTATTCGTATTAATGCCCAAGAAAACTGCCTCAGAAGTTATGATGTGGTACGCATATAGCAACTCTGCCTTTTTTCTACAACTTAGATTGATATCACCTTGAGGTTACGCCATACAACTTGATCCTCTCCGATGATGGTACATATTTATATCTATTTATCATTACTGTCATCAGAAGATCGTGATCGATGTACACCCATGTGTGGCGCTGTAAATTTGCACGAGGCGCATTTTAGCGTTGTTATGTAAATTAGGCACGAACAGGTAAATGTAAATTTGAATTCGTTACAATCTCTTTCGTTTTCGCGTTTATATCTATTACTCCCATGCGGCGTGGACGCTGACGGCATGCCGCCCGGGCACTGGAATAATGCAAACCTTTGTATTTGCGAATCGTATTTTCAATGATTCGATGGAATTTTTTTAATGATCACATCAATTCGTTGTTGATTTGGAATACAACTTTATAATATATTTAAATCGGGTATTAGAATAAGTCAAATCACTCCGCATTGTCATTTAAATGCCACTTGTAGAGCAGTTGCCACCGCGTTTTATAATTGATTGCGTGCCTTGCTACTTGAAGTTTTGTTAAATATTCTACAAAGTATGCTTTTGCCTCAAAATCTTCTATACAATACATATCACCAGCTGAAGCTAGATTTAAATAGGTTACTGGATTCTGTAACCCGAACTTATAATTAATTTTCTACTTGTTTTTACAGCTGAGCAAGTCGTCGAGGAATCGAAGACTTGCGGGAAAATCCTTACTGGCCTATCATGGGTCCTCGTCGTGCTCACGATGCCATTTTCGCTCTTCATTTGCTTCAAGGTAAGCTTTTAACTTCAACTGTAGTGAAGATCTAAAAATCACAGTGCCAAACGAAATAGTATCATGTGAAACAGGAAAGGTAGTATGAAGACGAAATGGTTAGTTGTTTGAGCCTGGATGTATCACAAGATTTCTAAAAGGAAAATCTTATGCATTGGTTTGAATTAATATTGGGAAGATCAAAACTAGTATTAATATTATTTATAAATAAGTCATTAAACAACCCATTAGTAAATCAATCTTAGATAGGAATTTCGTTTGCTACTTTTTGTTTAACTTTAACTTTAAGCTGAAACTTTATACTATTGTTCTCGGCAGACATTAAACTTTAGTGCGCCAAAAAGCATTTAAATTTACAAAACACTTCGTGAAGCAGCATAAAGCTTACAATGATAAGTAAACAATGTGGACAAATAAACCTCTGATGTACGGACACAGTTTTTGCTATCAAGCCTTAATATCATCGTGGGATAATGGGGGATACCTCTGGACACATCACCAAGCCGGTGTCTTATGAATTTGAACAAAGTCACGACATACAGCTTATTGTGGCATAATATATTTGACACTCCCTCGCCAACATTGCCCAAATAATTCACCTGGACCCTTTGTAGCAAAAATTTATTTCACAAATCTAACTTTAGAAACATACATACAATTGAAATATGAATTGCTCGAATGAATAACTATAATTCGACTAGCACACCCTCAGGTTTTGCTGTAGTTGTTTGAATAAACCTGGAGGACACTCCGCAGCGCTTAAGATCCTTGGCGCTGTTGTAGGTCTTTGTGTTGGTCTGCACGCTCCATTGTTCTAACTTCGTCATGCAGTTGCAAATAATGGGATTGCCCGACAGATGGATCTCCTTAACGCGCGTGTCCTTCAGCAATCGCTCGGACAAACAGAATAGCTCGTTGTCTTCCAGATTTAGCGCATCAATGGCGCTCACGTTGTTGAATAATTGGTCATCAATGAAGCGCAGCTTATTACCCGTGAGCCATAGCTTGCCCATTGATTTCAAGCCTTTGAATGCATCGCGATGGATATTGGTGATGCTGTTGTTCATAAACATCAAATTCACAGTCATTTTAGTGCCTTCCAGGTGCTTGAAACTGTGCGCTTCCAGAGCAGGAATCAAATTGTAGATAAAATTCAAGGTTGTCAATTTTGGAGTATTTTTGAACCACATTTCGTCCATATATTGCACCTTGTTAAAACTCAAATCCAACAAAGCGAGGCTCGTCATGTTGTCGAATGCTTCAGGATCTATATTGTAAATTTTATTTCCTGCTAGTCTGAGTTCAGTTAATGGAAGATTATTAAAGATGTACCGATCGATAACTTGAAGTTTGTTGTAGCTGAGATCAAGATGGGTTAACTTGGGAAGGTCTTCAAATGATCCAGGTTCAATGTCCCCGATGCTAGTGAGCACCAGCTTTAGATGCCTCATGAGCGGAAATTTTGTAATAGAACCATTGCACAATTTAGGGATGATGTTTATCGGCTCTAAATCCAGTCGATAGACAGCTTGTAACTCATTGCGATAATCCTGAATGGTGTATAGTGTAAAGTTGGCATCCGGATTAGGATCGGCATAGACTAGAGCCGTCACGTTACGAAAGGGTTCGCTGCAGTTGAATGCTGGTGAAGGTTTATACGGGACAGTTGATGCAGCAGAGGACGACCCACCGAAGATGCACGTTGTGCACAAAGCAAACGCATAATAAAATTGCCAACTTTGCATTATTTTGACCGGTGAGCACCACTTGGTTGGTGTGGTTCGCGATTATCTTGAGTTTGATGGTTCACTCTTCGTAGCCGCGCGTCGACTGAAGTCGTAGCCGGTAAAACACGACGTGTTCAAGACGAGCACAGGGACAGCCATGAGAGTAGGCTAGCAGGCAATTTGCGAAATGGAAATGAAGCAATGCGCTCTGCTAAGACGATGCTGGTGCTGCGTGCTGGTGAACAACAAGTGTGTTTTATGGATTCGAGTATATTAACGAAAGGTTAATTTGTACATAACTTAGCACGTTAATAATACCGAACGAGTATGAAATTGTCTTCGCGTTAACATGCATAGACTTTGTATGGTGCGGCATGCGACATGTGAAGATGTTGTGAAGTGACTGTATAATAGATTATTTATGTGCGGTCGTATGCGCGTCTTAGCATCGCTAATGAATGGCGTACGCTCGGCGGGTGATGCGGTCTGTTGGCTCCACAAGAGGCATCAGCGAATTATATTATTGCTTCTGAGTGGAATTAATTTTCAACCTGTACGCTATACACAATGTTAAGTTTTAATTATAATTTCAATGGCGAATGCGACTATGGTGTCATATTTGCTAAATGTGCTCAAGTCATCGATTTTTAATTTATATACATATTTATGAACTTGGGATGTTTCATTTGTACACAATTGCGTGCACAAGGTCAACTCTTTAATTAATTATAATTTTAATCCAAATAAAATACAATGTCTATTTGCTAGGAAATGGTTGGTTCGTTAAAATACCTCCAGTAACGTGAATTTTGATTGAGTAATAGCGGATAAGTAATAATTTGTAATTGTAATCAATTTTAATCAATGGTTTTGCTATTTCAATCAACCACATCTAAATTCTATTTTAAAAAATAGAATTTTGTAGATCCACTATAGAAACTATGACGAAGGGATTGGAAAAGTGAAGTGTGTTTCACTATATAGCTGGGATGTGACAAAAATGGTTGAAAATCAATAAAAATTTCTTGCCACTGACGCCAGAATCAACAGGTCGCCCTTTTGATTTCGCAGTTGTTCGACGCGTTTGAAGCCAACATTGCGAATGACTTATTGCCTCATCAGATGTCTAGGCACTCGCGTCGCTTAATCGTTTTGTTTGATAGATTTTTAACAGTTTACGTAATACAATTAAGTCATAGGCTTGCACATACGTTTGATAATGATTCGTCAAATATTTTCATTCAATTGCAAAATTTTCGATGAATTTTTAATATGGCAAACACTTTACGAACAAAAATTATTTATACAGAAAGGTGATGAGTAAAAATATAGGTAGTTGTTTATTATTACGGCGATACAGTAATATATGGTGTTAACGATGCGAATGCAGTCTTGTGATGTTTTTTGACCATGCGCATCGTAAGAGAAAGAGAAAGTGGGCCATTTGTGACGCATTTTCGTATTCATCTGTGGATTTCTTGTTTTATTTTTGTTTTTTTCTTTTGGGTATTGATTAAACGTCTTTCTGATAAAGAAGACCTATAACAAATTAACATGCTATGCATTATCCGTTCGCATTTGTAAATGTAGAGATTAAACAAGTTTCAGCAGCCAACCGCAAATATCCAATACAATGCCCATATAAATGTCGCATATTTTCTCTCCGCGCTGGTACACATTTCCGCGTTGCTTTTAGGAATTGCAATTAAGGCAGCATAATTTACGCAAGAGGCTATCCAGACTGTAAATACCAATGCGCCAGGCTTCCTCAAAGTGCTACAAGACAATAAATAATTTAACGCAAAATATGTATTAATATCCGAGATAATTACACAAGCATTATATTTGTTTGTTGTTTTATTTTTTATACATATCTTGGCTTCGTAATCAAAATTACATTATATTCCTATAACTCTTGGCATTGCATGTCGTGGTGTAATTGCAACCTAATTTGCAGCTAATGGTGGCTATTTTATAATTGCAAATAATTGTGTGTAAATATTAGTACGATTATTGCTAACCTTGCTGCCACGGTGCATTACTCATTACTAAGTGTACATACGAGTAAGTCACTCGTAAATGATCATTGAAGTCCTCGAGCATACTGAAATCAATTGTACTCTGTACAGCGTGTAATTGTGGTGCAAATATTCAATGTAAACATGAACGTATCAATTAAGTACTATTTTGATGTTCGTGAAATTATTTGGATGCTGTGTATATTGATACAACATTAAATTGGGAAAAACCTAATGATTATTGTGCGTTTCCAAGTAATTTAGAGCAAGCAATAGTTAGTAGCTACGAGTACTTAGAGAAAATATTACTGTTTTCTTAAATCAAGATTTTTTTCATTTTATTTTTTATTCCTACAGATATAGGTATGTGTATATGTTTTTAATTCACTTTTCTGAGAAGTATTTTGCATTTCAATTATAAGAACTTTTTTTATCAGAGTCTATAAGCTTGTTTACGAACTTTTGCCGGTCAGCCGTTCTGAGAATTGAGGGTTACATGTTATCTATATAGCATTAATTATAAATTTCATCTGATACTAAAGTTGTATATAAACAAACTTGGAATAAATATTACATCAGTCAGCCTATAATATGTATAGAATCGTAACTCTGTTCGCACTGGTTGCAGTTTCATTCGGTGCTTCACTGAAAAACTGTAATCCGTTCGAAAATGTAAAAGCGACGATTTACACCGGCAGCGAAAATGACCCGCAGATAGTGACACTCACATCCAAAACTGACCTCAGCGACGCATACAAAGTGGAAATCGAAAATCAGAAGATTGACGAGCTGTGCAATGGAGCACTGGCTCATCTCAAAAAACTAGACACTCTGATGATTAAAAATAGCAATTTGAAATCAATTGCACCTGGCTCATTTGAAGGTAGCGACGAGTTGCGTGTTCTCGATCTTACCGACAATGAAATTAAACAACTACCGGCTGGTGTCTTCAATAACCTCAACATCAGACGCGTCAATTTGACGAATAATCAAATCAGCGATGTGGACAGTAGTGCATTTGACAACATGCCCAAGCTACAAACGGTGGAGTTAAGCGACAATCGTATCACCAAGTTTGATCCGGCCTGGTTCTCAAATTCACCGTTGGTATACCGCATTGTCTTGGACCGCAACCAGGTGAAATCTTTGCCCAAGGATGCGTTGAAACATCTGGCCGAGTCATCGACACGTAAACAGAAAATTCAGTTGTGGCTCAGCGAAAATCAAATTAACGACGTGCATCCTCTGGCGTTCCGCAATATCGACGAAATTGAGGCACTTTGGTTGGATCAGAATAAAATTGTTGCTCTTTCAGACACTACCTTGCAAGGTGTCAAACTGGGGAGGTTGTCTTTGAATGAAAATATGCTCACTTGCATTAGTGATATATTTCTTTCGAATCTCAGCGTAAAGGACTTGATGCTTGATATGAATCCAATGGACTGCGATTGCCTGCGTAAAATACGCAAATGGGCTGCCAGCAACAGTGTTGACATGACTGCAATCAGAAGAGGTTTGGAATGCGCCAGGGAATCAATCAATAAAGCATTTAAAGCACAGAAACAGTACTATGAAGATAAACTGGAGATTGAACGAAGATTTTAAATTTTTGAAATAAATTTTAAGTTTACGTATGTTGATTGAATTGTAAAATGATGATCGTATGCCGTTGTAACGATATTGGGGGTTTTAATGTCAAGTTTAAGTTGTCAGTGACCCAAATAATGCATCACATTGAACCTAATAAAGTTTGAAATTTCATATCTAATATGTAAATTCATTCGGTGGTAGAATTGTGTACAATTTATTTGGTTCAAAGAGAACGTTTTTTTAATTTATTAAAATTTGATTTCTCAGGTCGTTCAGGAGTACGAGCGCGCCGTAATATTCCGTCTCGGTCGTCTGCTCTCAGGCGGCGCTAAAGGTCCCGGTACGTACATAATTTTCATAACTTTCCACCTGTTTCTATTACAGTTTTTTTTTATTTGAACTAACATTTACGTTTATTAACATTTACCAATTACATACAACCTTTCAAACCTTCTTTTACTCGTATGTTAGGTTATGTTGGGGTCAATTGTGTTAAAGAATTATAAATCGTGAAGAACAGAGCCAATTTTGTTTATATGGTACGAGTTTCCCAATCTTGCCTCATTTGTTGCTGGCGACTTCGTCTACGAAGTTTTTAGTGAAAATATAATTATTTTTACATGACTTTCTTGTTTCTTGAATTGAATTCAAGAAAGAATCTATATCACCTATATCTTCCTTTATATAACACTCTAAGTCACGATTAAATCACCATTATGAAACCTTTCTACTGATATTGATTTTATTCCTGGTATTTACTTGCTTTGTCTTTGCAAACAGGCATCTTTTTCATCTTGCCATGCATTGATGCTTATGCAAGAGTCGATCTGCGTACAAGGACATATGACATTCCGCCGCAAGAGGTTAGTCATCCTGCACTGTCGCCGAAGTGTGTCCCAGTGTGTCTTAAACTTCAGGAATTCTTTTTTAATGTAGGTTCTAACAAAGGACAGTGTCACGGTGTCGGTCGACGCTGTAGTCTACTATCGAGTTTCCAATGCAACAGTATCTATCGCCAATGTAGAAAATGCACATCATTCGACTCGCTTGCTGGCGCAGACTACATTAAGGAACATCATGGGACAGCGCCCTTTGCACGAGATACTCAGCGAACGTGAGAGCATCTCGCAGCACATGAAGGCCCTACTCGACGAAGCGACTGATTCATGGGGTATCAACGTCGAACGAGTTGAAATGTGAGATAATTATATTTATTTTATATTCTGGAGTGAAACTATGCCACTCTGAACTTGCAATTGTTGTTTGCAGCAAGGATGTACGTTTGCCGGTGCAACTACAACGTGCGATGGCGGCGGAAGCCGAAGCTTCGCGTGAGGCACGTGCCAAAGTCATTGCTGCCGAGGGCGAGCAGAAGGCATCACGCGCTCTTCGCGAAGCCTCCGAGATTATAGGCGATTCTCCCGCTGCGCTTCAACTCCGCTATTTGCAGGTAAAACAAAACTAGATGTTTTTGCATGATATCGTATAGTTTTGTGGTGGCTAATTTGAGTTGAAATTGAGGTTTTGTAATCACCATGATATCAAACCGGTGATGTTCTAGTTGTTGCTTCAGTGAAGTTTGGATTTGATTCAATACATGGTGGTTACAATTGTATGAATGTGACTTTTTTATATCTGTTCGTCGCGTGCACGATAATGAAAATGCATCAAGAGTGGCATTCAATAACCAGGCATTTGCGTACAAGACAAAACTTTGCATTTGCGTGCGAGTTGAATGTTCGACTGTTTCTCTCACTGGTTAGGATTGTGAGCAAATTCGCAATCTTGTGCGATGTAAATTTGTTGCTTAGTAATCTAGCTTTGTGCTACTCGCGAGTACATACATGGCTGGCAAGCTTTATAAGGGTTTTCATTTTGTTTTCCAATGCTAAACGGTTTAACGGCCGTGTATAATACACAGAAAATGCAAACAATTTATTTTTAATCTTTGTGAAATTAAAAAAAAAACTGCGCATCATCAAAACATTTTGCGTTAGGAAAATAACACAAAATGTAATCAAAAGTGAACCAACAAATGCTTAGTTAATTTTATTCAACCATTCTCGTATGATATACAAATTTTACAACAAATATTTGCTTGGTTCAATTTAATTAATCCTGTATAAAGTTTTCTTCATTGAGCGTGAGAATGCATGTTGTAAATTAATGTAAATAATTCGCACAAACTCAGCGTGGATATCACTAACATTTACTTCTTGCCTCTTGTTTCATTAGACTCTGAACACGATATCGTCGGAGAAGAATTCGACGATTGTATTCCCGCTGCCAATTGATATACTGTCGTATTTTATTAAGGGAAAGGAGTTGAATTTCCCATGATCACTTATCAAACGTGCGGCACAAATGGGAAAGCACATTAATACTAACACAACAAACAAATATCTAGTCACATGTATTTATAATATTTACCCCAGGACACTTATTGGTATATAATTACAAGAACAACACAACTTAAATATAAAACTTGCAAGTTTGGAATGTGTGCCAATTAACATTGAACTTTAAAAAGTAATCAATCAAACCAGCACTGATACTATTCTAAGATATTTACGTATTGCGATAATTATACGTACGTTTTGTGCGAACATATGAAGCACCAAACATAACCAAACACGCATTCGTTTCATTGTCGAGATCCATTTCAGCTGCCCCTAGCGCTTGGGTGTGTTTATAATGAAATTTAATCGAGTGCAAAATTAATTGAACAGGAGACTGCAAATATGATATTATCACTATAAATTGCTGATAACGACGCTATTAAAACGAAACAAAAAGCCATCAAAACTTCTGTGGTAATCACTAAACGTACTAATTAAAGCACGAAGTTAGAAAAATATTGTAAATTTTTGTTTAAGTAGGCTTTAATTTATAATCCTAAAGTGAGGAAAAATTGACTATATTTATAACGAAATTGTGCTGAATGCAGTCACGCAGTTGTTATCCTTTGTGCGCCTCCTAAAGGAATTTGAAACATTTTTATTACATTTATTACACAACGATTAACCATATAACTTTTATTTCCACGTCAAATATTTAAATAAAAATTAAAAATTCTTTTGCACATTTAATATTTTTTCTACTTCTACTTTTAAAGTGCCAGTTTTTTCACGGTTTTAAGGCACAAAAAGTGGTACTTTAAACACAGATGACCAAGATCGTGACTAAAGTTCTTGCAGCACAAGAATATGTGAAATGCCATGCGCCGTCAGTCGGGCGTGGCCCGGCGCGGAGCACTGTATTTCTCACCTTACTTTTCCCAGTAGTGTGCGAGCTAATTTCGAAGATTTAAAATACAAAAGCTCTCAATCAATCTAGTGCCAAAAACCTCCCGTTTAGACCACTTGATAATAGACTATTATATTAGATAATTTTGACATTTACAGATAATCATTTTCAGTTAATGTCAAAAACACAAGGCATTGAAAGTTGATACAAAAATTCTCTTTGTGACAATTGCGAGAAAACGCTTCAAACAACGGAATCTAACACCACTGAGCAAAACCAAAGCGTTTTGTCGAAATTCGTTGCGAAAACCGAAAATGAAAAGCAAGAGGACGCCATAGAATAAAGGATTCACAAATGTTAAACATGTCTAGATGTTTTCAAATAACTTTTAGCATATCATGAAATCAATGCTATTCATATCGCAAATTTTGTGCGAGTGTGTACTTTCGAATTTATCGACGTAGAATAACAAACATAAAAAAACACTAAATATTCGTGTTCTAGGTTCTAGAAGGTACATTAAGAGGGCAGACACTAACTTAATTATAATAAAAATAAATTATATTCCTATTCTTAATCAAGTATTTAGATGTGGACGCAAACTTATTCTAAGGTAAATTGAATGCATAGGCAACTAGGGTCTATATATCGAAAAATATCCTACAACATTGACGCCGAAACTTATTGCGATAATTCAGAAATACCATTGTCGAGTTGGTAGCACGTCGCCTAATGCCGCCCAGAAATTAATCAACTCGAAACCCTCGAAATGTAAACCGCGCTTACTGTGGGTTGGTTAATCGCTGTCGTGCGTTATAGGAAAACTCGGCGTTTCTGTGTACCACATCGTCGCACTGTTTGCGTTTTGCCGACAGCAGCAAGTTTTCGGGGCCTTTCGGCGACGATGTGGCACCGAGGTGAGCGAAACACCGACTTTTCCATTGTGCGTCTGTGAACGATTTGTTCACCACCAACGTGTGGCGTGCACGAACCTCGACCGGCACGCCGAAAGTAATTAATGAGGTGTTGTTTTTTGCACACGTGAATTAACGAGAATACAAACGTGACGTAATTGACGTGTAATGAAAGCATATTTGCAAGTATGAAATTATGTTTACCGTATTTCAAGCTTCGATAAAACGCTATACCTATCTTAGGTTAGATTATTTGCATAAGGCCTATGCTGATTACTAGATGATTATGTTAGGGGTATAAGTCTGACCAAGCGGAAACATCTTATAGGAAACAAAACGATTTTATAGTATTGCGGTGTTTGGTTGATGTTTGGTAGATCACACAATTCTCACACACCCTCGCGCACACATACACACACGCACACAGACCTCACACACAATACTCAGTACATATGTCTACTCATTTACCATCCTCTTTTTTTATATAAATTTTGTTAGGTATATAGTATCATTACAATATAATATTAAGATTTTATGATCTCACGCAAATCATTCACAACAAGCGTGTGTAGTTTTAAGATTTGTTGCAATTTGCAATTTTTGCACACAAGATTATTACACTTATTACTTATATACATAAATAAGTATATGAATATTTATCAAGATGCAAAGACATATGTGTAACTTGGACTTTTAATCTTCAAATAAATATATCTACTGCTATCTGAAGATTTCAACCACAAACCTTCCCAAAGAAAATCTGTACTGCACAAAAATGCTGTTTTTGTATGTTGCTTTTTTGCACATATTTGTATTTAACACAGCGTCGTTGACGCTGTTTATTTTACAAACGTACTTCATTAAAGCAAATCTACCTGGCCCCATGATCTGAGCGTGACGTGTCGTTTGCCAAACTGGATCGGCTGGCACCCTCATCTTGGAAAAAGTTGGCACTGTATATATAAATCAAGCTACAAAAAGTGTACATTGAACATGCACCGCTCATTACAATTGCGCATTGTAGCATCTAACAAGTGCAAAAATGTATGCAGCAGTGCGTACTGGGTGGCTGTAGTCATAATTTAAGTTTGATACGATTTTACATACATTTAGTGTGTTTTGATTCGTGTGAATATAATAGTTTTCTCGCACTATACACCAACTAAACTATTTTTGGCCGATGTTTTAAATAAATAATAGAGTTGTAGGTTAATGTCTTTTTACCGAAGTAATCATTGTGTCATTATGTATTAATTTAATGCTTTTGTACATCGAGAATTGCCACCCACTTTTTTATCATACGCAATATGTGCTTCAGGTTTGTGCTTAAACTTCGTAATATGGCGATGTATTACCATACATCATTTGTCATTTTGTCATTCAGCTCGAAATGTTTCTTGTTTGCCTGTGCAGTGTGTGCTTGCAAACTATGCGGTCGATTAAATGCGAATAATTAAAACAAGCTAGATTAATATATAAAATGGAATATAAATTACTTACAAGTTTTGTAAGATAAAACAAATCGGGATTTATTTTTGAATAATTGAAAATTGAAGTGTGATTTAAACACGCGAATTAAATATGTACATCTAAACGTAGTGAAAGAATGATATTTTCGGTTTATGATGCTCATAAAAATTTGTTGTAAAAAAAGATGTAAATCAACTTTTTATCCGCCCTACCATTCTTTTTCGCTCTCCTGCGACTTATAATGTAAACATAAAAATGCAAATTCGAAAATAAAAATTACTTTATGCCACTTTTTGCATCTCTCATGGGACCAGGACTTGATGGTTGAAAGTGTTTATTTTTCGTCTATATTCTTATATGCCTAGCCATTAAGGTCTTCAACAGACGTGCAAAGAGTGACGTTGAATATTTTTCATAGCGTTATATTATTCTTTTGAAACAATTTCGTTGAAAAAATTCTGTATCATTTTTATATCTATCTGTATCTGTATCGACCGGTTGAAAAATTATTGTTGAGAATCCAGGAGAATAGTATTGCTTGAAGACATTGCTTAAATTGGGTGGAAGGAGGAAGGATAACAGAGTTAATTTAATTTAAATCACACATCAATTCTCACATTTCTAAATTTACTACATCTGTGCTGATAAATTCTTATTACTAACATTTTTACGCAAGTTATGCTTGTTTTAATTAATTTAGAGTATATTTACCGCCTCTTTATTTTTTACGCGACGTTTGATTGCGTGGTTTGGGTTTGAATTTTTTTTGCTCATTTGTTGACATGTGTGTCGAATGTGAATTTTCCAGACTCTAAATACGATTTCGGCGGAGAAGAATTCGACAATCGTGTTTCCTTTGCCGATCGACATGATGACATACTTCATGCAGTCGAGGGGACAGTAACAGGGCACGTACAGAAGCGCTGGAAAAGTTTAGATTTTGCACGTCGCACTCTGTAATCTACAACTAGCGACATTTTGGTACTTGGTACTCAACCAATCAAACAATTGTCCAAAGATTTAATGATAATAATACACTATACATTATTTTCGATTTACGAATTTACTGTAACTTTAAATGGCATCATATTTTGTGTTGTGGTATATTTATATATATATACACCTAGTACACTTGAGAAATGTTTATTGAATATAAATAGATTAAACCTCGATATTTTCTGATAACGCCTGGTAATTTGAGCATACAAGCTAGAGCGGTATCTATTTAATAAGTCGATTACGTCGAGCTGGTTGAAGGTGTCCTAATTTTGTGATTGCATATTGTGATATCAGTTTTACTCCAATTCTGACTCTTATGCAAATAAGCCGAATTTTTACAAAAATCTTCTGCGGATATTTTTCGCAAAGTATTGGAGATTTTTAAATCTCGCAACGAAATGGAATTCCATACGACCGCCATATGGAAAAATGATTGGGAAACAGATTAAACACCAATTTAGATACATATTAAAATTTGTAAATGAAACATGCAATGTTATTACTATAAACTAAGCGGGGTCAGTAAATATTCATTCGGGGAATAATACAAAAATGAAATATTTAAATTGTCGACATTTGAGTGGAGTTTTGCAATTATGTATGCAGTTTTAGCACTACGTTTGGAACTGGGTCACTTTTATCAAATTGGTCAAAACCTAAAAGAACTCATCATAAAAATGTGATATTTGCGACGTTGGCAGCGTTGCAAAGCACTTAATGACAACATTTACGATTTCGAACACTTTGATCGTGTGACAAAGATATATAAGTAGACTAGTAATTTAATATTGAAATGTATTGACTTCTGGGAATTAACTGGAAAATTACACAGAGTAGTTTGGTTTAATCAGTTTTAGGTATAAACTTCACCAAACACATGAATACAAAATATGCAATCATATTTCGAAAACATCACATTATTTATTATTATATTAATCACTAATAATCTTAGCACCTCGGTTTTTCAACTCTTATTTGATCTGAACTCGTATGTACAGCTTATTGCCTATGCTCGTTACAACCTATGAATGATTATGTGTAAAATAAGTTAACAAAGCAAATTCACACTAAGAATAGTTGAAATACCTATAAGAAAATCATGTTTTAATTCGTTGGCGCATGCGTTACCAAAACTTTGTTGATGTTTGTCAAAACTGAATATTTGAATAAACGTTGTAAGCTTGTGCATTTATATTTGTTCAAATATTATATTGATTTGATAAACTAATTGCATCCACCTGTCGTTGTGGTCAGCGAAGCGATAATTTATTAGCTACCATCCACCAGCGGAAGCTACGAGAATAAATCTCGTTTACGTCGATGCATATTTCAGCAGTTTACACTCTTTGGCGATAACCTTCCGGTCGATTTTATCGCTGTTGCTTTCAAAATTTATGAAGCGATTTATTGCAACACCATTCTACAATATGCACTCGAAAACGTAAAATGCATTCTAAGGGTTGCAATTACTGCGGCATTCAACCCGTATGTGAAAATTCCTACTCCTAGACGCAAATAATACAGAAAATTGAATTGAATCTAAGAAAATTAAAATTTATTTATAACTTGCCGAGGAATATTTTCGTACATATAACTTTTAATGCAATAGGTTTTATTTAAATGAATTTAATTTAAATGCAATACTTACAAAATCATAATTTTCAATTAATACTATTTAATTTAAAATCTAGTGCTAGTTACATTTCCTATGAAGATGTAGTCAAAGACAAATCGTGGCTATATATTTATTAATAATGTATGGCATGTAATTGCACCTGATGGAATAACTTCGTAAAGTATTGATTCGATTGTGACGGACTCAAGGTCTACAGAGTTTATTAAATATTACATACTTCTATCATATTGTATCGCATTACTAGAACTCAAACTTCATAAATTTATTATTAATGCAAGAAATTATGGTCAACTGTGGATAGAATAACATGAATTTGGAATTATTTTGAATTCAGAAGAGTCTAAATTACAAATATGGAGGTTTAGAATCAAAATGTTTTATAATCTATGTGTACATAAACAGAACCAAATCAATGTTTTGAAAATGTGGCTAAATGAAATGCGTATAAGTACAACAATTCAATTGCTTGCTAAACTTGTTTACAACTTTACTATGCAGAACTTTTCATACATCGAAATTTTAGGTAAAGTATAAATTGAGTGTGCGTGTGTGTCGCTTTGTTGTTTCGGTCCAATTTATTAATTATTTCAGCAAGAAAACACGTGCTTCCCAATATGAAATGTAGTAGAATGGTTAATCAAATTTATGCCATCTCAAATAATTGTTTCGAAAGAAGAATTGTGTATTTGTTTGGAATATATAAAGGTTTCAATTTAAGATTTACTGAACATGTGCCATAATCTGAACAAATGCTTTCCGACGCACACTCACAGTATACGTATTTATTTGCTTAAAGCAAATTGAATGTAATCGGAGATCTAAATAGATTCTTCATAAAGTTTAACAAGTTGGGAATTTATGTTTCAAAATATATTCCTCCTCGATCGAGCTTCGTCTAAAATTATTCTTTTTATTGAAGTACAAAGTATAACAATATACAAAATTACAACGTCAAAAACAATTAAAACACCATTTCTCTTAAATAAATCCACAAAATAAAACTGATTAACAACGTCTAAACTAGCTTTCATATTTAGCAAATGACTTTATGCCAAAGTGTTTGTACATGGTTGTTGGACGTAGTTGAGGCAGAACCCACGATTGCCCTGATCCTGTGGGGTTTCACGTGCGTCCGTGTGGAAGTACAATCGGAACGGCTTCACATTACCTTTGGGTAAATAATCAAAGACCGCAAATTATTAAATTGGCGCGCGCGCGCTAGATCGAACCGGTGCGATGAATAGTAATAGTTTTCTATAATGGTTGCAGTCTGGAATTATGGGTACTTACTTCGGACAGGCGTTGACTGGAGCGTGACGTCTGCAGCTAGCGTCCCACCGCATACCCGATCGACGGTGGCAGACGCCCCGGTTACTGGCCGGCCCACATTCATTACCATTGGAATAATAAGGTAATCGTTCTGACAGAAGTTACCAGTTCCCGTACTGCCTACCATTGCAGGCACGGCGTTGTTATTTGCAGTGTTTCCGCTCAATGTGAACGATACCGAACGATTATTAACTGAAACGTAATTAAGAAACAGTAGTTTCAAGTTGGATAGAATGGCGTACCAGCAAAACATCTAAAACATCTAGTGGTGTGTGTGAGTTATCGGTATTGTCATGGATAGACTCCGTGACTAACGCCCGTGACTAAAGTACTTTAGGCCCGTGCTTTAAAGGTGGCAGTAGAAAAAATATTAGTATTAAATCACTAGGATTATATCTATATTTTTTCTTTTTCTTTCAAACTGTATTCGTGTCGTTGCATATCGCTTCTGTAGAGAAACTGTTGCGAAAGTGCAATGTCACACCATGCGCAATGCGACAATACAACGACGCCCTGCAAACACGATGTGTACATCACACGCAGACTAATTTCATTAGCAGTGCATCTTGTTTAAAATAATTGGATGCATCATGCGCACAGAATTAATAGCGAGCGCACAATATCGTAGCAACACGGGGTGACTGAGTGCATCATCAAAATAAAGTAAAATTAAATTACTTTGTACCGACCTGTGTCTGGGCATTGCGTGTACTGTACGCCGCAGAAATTCTTCTCGGTGCGAACGCAGATACTGTAGTCCTGATTGGACAAGTGCAACCCGCTTGTCGGTTCGTAATTAAAGGACATTATCTGGCCTGCAACTCCTGTGAAATACTGCAGGCACCCGTCTTCGGCTGGAAAGTAGAAAACTTATATACTCGTATATACACATAAATAGATTTCAAAGAAATAAAATATAGAAATTAAAATTTTATATCTTCATTGGCATCGTATTATTATACTAAATATTCCGTCGGACAGGGATAAATATTCTTAATGGAAGATTTTTTAATTAAAGCCTTGAATCACTGGACAGAAAATAGGCTAGGGAAATTATTTTCGTTTAAGTCCCAAAGCGTATTTCAAACACATTTATATACACGTTGTAATGAATTTCTCTCTTTCTCGTTCTGCACCAGTTTCTTGCAACGCGCGGTGAAACCGGCTAAAAGAAAATCGAAGACGAATGAGCACTGGTTAGGGCTGAATGGATGCTTGAGGACGCTTAAAACTTTTATTAAAATGGGCACAACATCAATCCTTTAAAATTGTTAAAGTCGGTGTTTAGGAAGCGCTATGAGAACATCAGAATTAAATCATTTATATGCTACGTTAACCCAGTCAATTTTGCGTTTCAAATTTAAAAAAAGCAAAGAATAATGCTTTGTCTTAGATAGGAAGGTAATATTCTTTGAGATTGATATTGATGAAGGTGTTAATATAAAAAACACCTTACGTAAATGCCTCGCAGACGTAAACAAAAGTGATGAAGCGAAGGATATATAAACGCAAGATTCTAGATCAGTGATTTTAAATAGATGCATCCCATGAACGCGTAAAGTGTTTGTAGAGCGAGGGTTTCGCACAGCTGTGATACAACAACGAGGACGAAACTTCCCCAGAAGCGAAAAACCGCAGCGGTAACCGTAGCACCACTAATGCAAACATGCCAACTTGAGGCGTTATATATGTGTATACAATGATATTGATTATCAATTAGGCTTTTAAAGTTTATATAAAACGGAGATAAACATTTATAATAATAAATTTAATACATAACGCAATGCATTTATTTCTGAAATGTTTGATGTTTTGCTTGGATTCTGAATTTTTATCATAGAGAATCAAATCTGAAATTTAATAAGTAAATTAAAGCAAAAGAAACGGAATTTATAATTGAGTGTTAATTAACTCAAACGTTTGCCATTAATTTAATTAACCCGCATAGAAAGTACATTTGCAATCAAGCTCAGAAGATAGGATTTAGTTAAAATTTTGTTTAAGACATAAGATGTAACTGTACTTATTCAACTGGAAATAAATATGGGGTATTTTATATACAAAGACAACGAATTCTGGACTGCTACCTGATTGAATGCTTTGGTACAAGTATTAAGGTATCAAATGTTCATCTATACTTCAGTTTATGGTTAGTGTTTAATACAGTCATCTTTTTGTTATGATCTGCTATTTGTTATTGTTCTTACAATAAATAATATAATTTTTTATGAAAATACCTTTAACTGGCGAGTTGCATGGAATCTGTGTGACACGTATTTTCCAGCTGCGTCGATATGACGGGCCGCTCGTTATAACTGACAGCGTAATTGGATTTGAGGCACCTGATCCAGCATCGATATACACTGCAAAGTCATGCAAAATGTAAGTATGTATTTATGCATCGCATTTCAAATTTAAATTTTTACTCATTCGATAAAAATCTTACTGTGGTTGCCGGAGTTCAATCCGCAAATGGGCGGCACGGGGCTACTTCCGGAGACGATAAATTGGTCGTTGTTGCAAATATTATTTTGTATTTCCGGGCCCATTATTTGAAACTGATCGAAATCCAGTCTGTAAAATTAAGATGCTCTTCGAATTAGAATTCTAGCCAAAATCAATTACTACCGTTATATTAAGGAAGTACATTATAAGTTTTCTATTTTCTTTCTTTGCTTTTTGTAATAAATAATGCACTACATTAAGGTCTAGTAAGGTAAACTAAACTAAAACTTTCTTAATTTATTTTATCGACTCGCTTGACTTTGGAGGATGCATTATTGCCAGCATCTTCTTGGGGGAATTGAAGCTTCCCTTCGCATCCTACAAAGTTTAACTTTACACGTTCACCTGTACTGACAGACGTTGAGGTTCATCTTCATCAGCGTGATCTGACAAGAGCCGGTTCCATCGTAGATAGTTGGATAACCACTGTGCACGAAGTAAGTACCATTCTCACGAACCGTCATTCCACATGTGGCGAGAACTAGAATAACACATCGACCCGCAATTTCGATAAGAGGGCTTAAGAGTTATGATTATATATACAAAACTATTTGACTATGAGCCTAAATATCTTCTAATAATATAATTATAATTATAATTATTAGATATTATAGTTATAACATTATCATTAATTCCAGATTGCTAGAAAGCACTCACACACGCAGCACATTCCGTAGCCACCAGCACAAGGTCCACTGGATGATCCACCTCTTTGTTGACATTGCTGCGCAGTCAAACAAGTACCATTATCGCCTGTCGCGCCCATGCACTCCTGGTTGCTAAACTGGACGAATGTAAATAACGATAGGACTTGAAACAGATAAAACATTTATTTTCATTTATTTTTAGTACCACTGAAATAATCCGGACTTACACCGACTTTGTCGATTGTTAAATGAATAATTATCTTGTTGTAATATCGGTGCACGTACTCGTCTTGGAGACCCCGTGGATGTTGGTACGATTCTGTTAATATTATTGTAATGCCCGGAATTCCAAAGAGGTAGAAATGGAGTGCCTTGCAAATTGCGAAGACGCGTGGCCTGACTGCCATAAATCTCACGTGGGAAATTTGTCAACATCAGCAGGATTGTACACCTCAACAAAGTGTGAATGTGTTGCACTTTTAACATGATTATAAATTAGTTCGCCAACTCTGACGCACAACTTTTGCCGCGCTGACTGTTCACAAAAAGTGTATGAAAACTTTGGTACGCTGATGCACTTGCAATCTTCTTGCCCGGCGACAAAATTTCTTACCGACAGCACAACACTATTTTTTTGCCATTGCTATAAAACTTATACAGAACTTGATCATGGTGACATTAAAGTGAGATCCCATTCGTGTCATCCTCGCTATATATAACTTTTACCACCAAACCTTTTTACGGCTGGTGCTACGAAGCTTGTAATTGTTCAAACTTTTACTCTCCGTGCTATATACTTAGTACGCTACACTAGCCGAGTTTTAACGCTTCGCGTGCTTCGTTGTATTCAATTGTTGATTAAAAAAACTACATCAAGAAAGGTTGAAAGGGAAAGAATTGTGAAACAATAATATTTTTTTTCGAGTCATGCAATCATTGGAAAATGTTGCTGAAGACGCTAGGTAAACTCCAAAAGACTTGCAACAAATGTAACTTAGAGAAAAGTAAACCACAATTTGAAATATCCTTGCGGGCGACACAGAATATATGAGTATTAATTCATGAAAATCCGATCAATTTATGTGCACTTCAGATAAGTTTGCATCGGGATGCATACCTGTGTGCGGACTAGTTTACGGATTGACAATAAAATAAAGTAATTGAAATTGGAAATGTGAATAGGTAGACATAAAATAGAGTATTGAAAGAACTTATACTCTAAAAGACCCTGGACAACCAGGTTCATATTACTTATGTCTACAATTATTTGCAACGGAACGCTTTGAACTCCCAAACAGTTTTAAAGCTTCATGAATAATGATCTTCTTGAACATTAATATCATACAAGTTGGGTTTTTCACCATTTTCCTAACTTTGTATTATACTAATCATTTGTATTGTAATAGTCATATACGAATAGTATAATTTTACGGACTTGCTATTTTAGCTTTCCATAGTTCTATTTTTTAACCGCAGGTGTCATAAAAGATCATTTATATCGCATTTATAGAAACATAATTCATTTAATTCACGACAAGAACACGTCAAGTGAAAGTGCGGTGTTTAAATAGCTTGAAATTAAATAAACCTCGTCCTATGTCGTTGATTCTTTTACATTGCCATACGTGTAAAATGTTAGTCTTATCGACGTTCGGTAGAAGCGTGACTAAATACTTCGACATATTTTGATTATCTAGAGCCACAGTCATCGAGTCGAATCAGAACAAAATTGTGGAAACGCGTAGGATATCGTACACACAGGTATTTGCACGTTGCGCAAGAAATCTGTCACTCTTCAGTTTCTTAAGTCACAATTGGATTAATTTTCACTTTCTGCGAGAAGAAGACAAAGAGAAGAAAACGAAAATAAATCACACTTATTCAGAACATGAACAAACTTCTTGTGTTGGCAAGTAACAATATATCAACAACAATATGTCGTTTTGTCTTTAAAGCTGTTTTAGCGTTTATGATGGCAGTATTGCACATTAGGTGTCTAGATATGTTTTACTTTTCAAACCTTGCTTGTGTAAACTGCGTTGGAGCATTGTTGATTGTTTGCCAAAGATTATCACGATTATCGCTCACATTCACATTCAAAGTCAGAAATTATCTTATTCACGGCATGGTGTTTTCGACTTTTCTTTTGAATTAAAGAACTGTTTAGCTCAGCTTGCCAAGTTTCAACAAATACTGACGCAATTTGTTCCAAAGAATAGGGAAATTTTAATGCGGTATTTTATTTCCTACTTCCGCATTGAAGTACAAGTTATACAACCGTCTTCTGTTTTGTGCAGGTACGTTCCGCCATGAAGAAATCAGTATAACGTGTGTATATAATGTGTGGATGGATTAGGGCCCATAACCTAAACCTGAACCTTAGTAGGTACAAAAGTAGGTACTTGCTCTACAATTCTACAGACTGGGGGATGCCGAGCGCATTAAATTTTTGGAAAAGATCCCCAATGCATTAAGGTAATAGAAAAATTATAAATGTTTGGCTACGGCGCAACTGAATTTACAATGCGTTATAAATGTTTTAGATTAACTGAGGATGCGGCGGAGAGCTTCAGTGATCCTCGATGTTTGCATTAATCTTGTGGAAATTTCGATATCGCTAATTGTGATGCAAACGATTTGAAGATTCTATTCATTAGTGCAATAAACACACCGCCAGATGTCTTATATCTCTCAGAAACTGCGAAGACTGACGTGGACTTGCAGAACTTCCTAAGCTGACACTGACGAATCTGACATTGATAGACTGTTAACACATATCTTCATAACCTTAATGGTATACAGTTGAGTCCTCCATTCCGTTAAGTATTCAGATCACTGATTGTTATTTAAAAATTACAAAATCCTTGTCGGAGAGTCAGCAATGAAGATAGCAAGGCCGGTGTTGAACAAATATCAGGCAAGTATATATCAACACTAAGTAATCTTATAGGAAGTTTGTGACACTGTACATAAATGACCTACCCATTTAATTTATAATTAATATGCCATCGAGGAGTGGCAAATTGCAAACTAATCTAAGAAGCTGAGCTAATGTTCCCTTCCGTGCTCTATTTCAGTTTTTGTTGAAATCGCACTTTTGCGGTCTGCCAGGAAGAGGAACAAACATCAAATTGGCTGTGGGGGATTCTTTGCGACGTTTATACAACCTGTCTCAATTAAGTTACAGCTAAATAAGTTCTCTTGAAGGGGAACTATTTATTGACCCAGATGGCTAACAAATATTTACTAATATTCACATTCCTAATACATTTCTTCAGTTGACTAGTTAACTCAGAAGAGCACACAATGCAGATAACACCAATGTTAGGAGCACGAATTTCTAAAACTTAGGGCAATGCTGGCGTTGTACCTGGTCTCACCCACTACAACCCAGGCAGATTGCGAAAATTCACCTACCACATTGAAAGGCACACCGGCTCATTCTGTCGATTGCCTGCAACGATATGCGCTCAATTTTATGGGCTATGCTTTTCTCGTGAAGTACGTAAAAATAGCCTCATTCGAATATGCCGTCATGGTTTCCCAATTTATCTCGAAAACAACAACCAGAACCAGAAGACTCCGGAGGCTGGCTTAATATTTTAACTCCATTCTATTTTATAAATGGATTTTAACTGAGAGGGTTTTAGTTTATTTGCACTAGTTTATTGATGAATCAACAATTGTTTCGCCGGTGAGGGCATCGTCAGGATTATCAAAGAAATTTTGTAGGTTGCAAATATTTTTTAATTGTTTTTGCCAGCCGAAAACATTTTATACATAGTATCTGAACTCCGAAGTTAGGGTCACTGACGATGCCCTCACCGGCGAAACAATTGTCGATTCATCAATAAACTCAGTGCAAATAGACTAAAACTCTCTCAGTTAAAATCCATTTATAAGTTAAAAATGTTGCACAATATTATCACCACAACCCAAGTATTCTATTCTATTTCTTTTACTCCGATCTATTCAACTTAATACAACCAATCTCGTTTGTTTCCGACTACGTTCTTCACCTTTCAATCCTATTAACTTCCAGCAACACTCTAAGACTGCCTGCTTTGTTTTTAATATCTGCCTGACTCCCGGCTACTTGACTTTAAATCTGCCTGCGTTAGCGGCAGATTCATACCAGCCCCCTGTCACTTAAATGGGAGAAAGGCTCGCAAGGGTTAGCGTGTGTGTCGCATAATTTTAGTACATATGGCTAAACTACGCAACTATATTGCCACCGTTGCAACTATACTTCTCTGTAAATATACACTCTCTGCAAATAGCGACAACATTGAGTCGTTTTCTGTAACACGGAGTTGAAGGGGGCTGGTTTTAACTCTCGTTCTCTTCTTTGTTTTAGCAATCGCTTTCGAGTTCCGATCGCAGTCATGAGCTAAAATTGAATGCGAATTTGATTCGCTTCGTCGGTCGACTTCCGATTTAAAATAAAATATATAATGCCCTTGTCGAAGTGTTGCAACGCATAAAATACTGGTAAGGTATCATTACTTGCTTCTTTTATACACTCGTGTTCGTGCTGCATACATCATCTTTTTAATCATTTCGCACGAACGGGGCGGCGCACAAACTTTAGCGGGGCATCTAGAGATGTAGAATTAAATTCCCCGTCTGTTGCAGGAATTCGATCTGCAACCCACGAAAATTTGCATAAAAAGGTGATTTACCGCTTTGTCACCTTTTTTCAAGAAATATTTGTCTTTTTACGGGTTTGTACGCGATTTTGGCGGCTCAGCAAGTTCAGCGTGGCATCGAAAGATGCGGAATTAAATTCTCCGTCGGGTTGTATTTGTTTGCGGTAGAAGTGACTTGATTCCGGCCACCGTATATTTTATTAACTAAAATAATATAGGTATTTACTTTCAAGAGTAGATTACTAAAGAAGTAAAATTTGAATGTTTTTATGCTTTTTTGTAGTTTTGGAAGAGTTTTGATTCAATTTTATAGAAAATATGTGATTTTATATAATATAAACTTTCATTGACTATTTATGCAGTCTATAATGTTTATTTATTGCTAAATTGATGAATATTTGCATTAATATTGCAAAATTTAATTCATTTATTTTGAATTAATACATTTTAGCGACATCTACATTTGAAGCTTTAAGTTATATGTAAAAATCGCTATTCGTTTAGATAGGGTGGTGCATGCGCAGTTGCGTGTGCGTGTGACACACGGCACTGCCATTTAAGTGCGTCACCATACACTGACACACATAGCCAATCACTCACTGCCTCATATGCACGCCACACTTTTTGATACACTTTGTATATTCTTGAGGTACTCAAAAGAAACCTCAGATGGCGCAATAATGCATGTTTTCGCTAAAAATATTCCTGCGAGTGAAAGTCGGCGTGCCCAGTTGTTGTGTAGCCGGCACGCAACTCTTACTTCGTGCGATGAGTACTAATACTTAAATGGATATTCATGTTTCGTGTTGTAAATTCGTTATATCGCGTTATATTTGCTGGAATTTAGTGTTAATTGACGGGTTTTAGTCGCTAAATATTTATCGCGTGTGTCTTCGGAATTCAATGTTTTGGGTGTTTAATACAGTTTCGCATGTATCTGGGATCGGTTGCCGTCGGACGCCAGTCGGCCATGTTGTGTGATTGTAAATAATATTTTGGAGTTGTGCGAACCACTTTTGTCTTCAGCAGAACACGACGTTCATAGTTCATAGTATCTATTTTTGCATTTTACAGTTTTCCTGCAATTAGAGAATGAATATCTTAAACTTCTTTTTGCGGAAATTTCAGTGAAACATTTTATCATAGTAAAATTTTAATCTAGGACTCATAGCTTTTCCCTAATTTTACTAAATGTAAACTTACATTCCCCTTGCCCATTTTTTCTTATGAATTAAAATTTTACTTTTTTGATTTCTAATTTAACTATGTTATTTTTTTGCTCGCTTTTGATGTTTATATTTCAAATTACAAGAATGCTGCGGTTTTATTTTCGGTTATTGTGTGACGTTGTCGGTTGCTAGATCAATCGGATACATAGTACTGCCATGTTGTTTCTCATCCTTAGGAGGTCCCGTTGGGCTTGAGTAAGTATCTTTTATCTCACCATTTCGATACTCCGCACAGAATGTTTGTTTTTCTCCTATATTCACACATATTATTATATTATATCATAGAGTATAAATGCAAGCAATATTGCGATTTGATAAAATGTGTTTTGAATTTAAACCTGCCGTTACTAGATAGTTGGTTAGATGGCACTTCGATGCACGTTTTCGCGTTAAATATTGCTTGTCGGTGTAGTGAGTGCACACCGTGCCCGTGTGCGATCACGCGATTTTGCACAAGAGATAAGTTTGTTTATTTGCAGATATCGAATCTTTATTTCTTGGAATAAAATCACATTTTGCTGTTTATATTGGCATCGTAAACTTAAGCAAATATTCCTTAGGATATGAAGAATCTTATTATAAAAGTCATCATCAGCAAATCATTTTTATCATCAGCATATCACTTAAGCAGATATCACTTAAATATTTGATGTAAAATTTGGTACTCTGTCAGCATAAGAAATCATAGCTAGTAGATAGGTAGTATGTCTTATAGAAGTAGTATAGTAATATTGTATAGGATATAGAAGTAGTAGTATAGCAATAGCAGTAATATAGCAATAATACACTAGTAGTATAGGAGTAGTAGTCTGGTGATATCTTTATAGGACTTTGGTTTTTAATAAATAAATTTTACAGGTAATTTTTAAAGCAAAACTATTGTTTTTTAAAAACAAGTGACGTCAATGCGACGTGTGGAATGTGATAATTTCTCATCTCACTCACTTTTATTTACGGACAAAGCACCAAATGCGGTGATATTTATTTTAATCTTGTATAATATGGATTTGAAAACTATGCCACATGTAAACGTTTAAGTCTTTTCACTTAACTTTTAACATTCTAGATTTAAAGCGAATGATTTACGTGACTCTAATTAATATAAAAATTGTAGATTGTAAATTGCAGTGGAATCCCGATAATCCGACATGGTCGGATTACAAGGTACTCTTTTGTAAAAAAATTCCGGGGTCTTAGGCAGTCCTCTATAATCCGACAAATTCGCTCATCCGACACTGCCCTGTAAAGTGATTGTTGGATTACCGGGATTCCACTGTAATAAAATTAATAAATGACTTTTAAGATAACAAAACATATTGCAGAAGTAGTGAAAGAAGATAATTGCGACAAGTTTTGAGTTATTTAGTTAATGTTTACGTTTGATTTTATTGAATTTGGTTTGTATACACATAAATTCAAGACTTGTTTTCGTTTTTTGTAGTGCGTGTTATCAGTGTTTGGGTTTGTGTGTTGCCGCGCAATGTTACCTGAGGCAAACGGTATACTGCATGCTGCTGACATCAACGGCGACATTTGGCAAATAGTTTTATTCTTGCCGTCGGACGGTGTGGTCGGCTTTACCTTTGTTCTTAATTATTTAATTCAGTGATTCTCGCCGTATTCGATCAATACTTAATGGTATTTGGAGTGAATTAACCATTGAATCAATTCGAAGATGGAATTATTTATTATAAAATGTGAATTTAATGTTTTGTGTACTGTTTCCATGTGCTAACTCCAATTTGGAATATACATATATTCAACTAGATATTCAGCTACACATATTGCCGTGCAAGGGGCTTGCCAAGTAAGTTTTCATATTGTCGAGAACATGTGTATTGTCTTCCTGCGATGAATTAAACATTATGAACTGTCATTTACCGCGATATTGTAAAATAAAAGCGATAGAAAAGAATGAATTGCAAATTCTTAATATACGGGAAATTTTTTATTAGATACCATACGACTACAAAAATCGGGAAAATAAAACTAGTGAAAATTCGAAATATTTGGAATCTGCTTCAGTAATTGTTTTGAGTTGCGTGCAGCCAACAAGCAAAATGAAACCACCTATCTCCAGGGTCGCGTTCAGCAAGCATTTCGCAAACTGATGGTGACCGCGTGTTGTCGCCGTAGACTGGGCACATTGTAGTGTTATATCGGACGCCGGGTAAATCGCGCGTGTTCATCACAATTAGTTCTGTTTCGTCTGATCATAATTAGATATATCGGTTTATTTTACAATTTAAGTAAAATTAATCAGGAAATTGTCGTCTCCAACACGGATTGTGTCACAAGTTTTCTCCAACAAAACAAACCAGTTGTTTTCTTTTTGAAACGCCCTGTAAATTAGTTTTTTTGATTGTCGAGTGAAAACGAACAAGGTCAATAGTGAGTTTTTTGTTTGCACTTTAAATTGTAACACCCTGTATATTTGTTTCCATTTTCACTCACCTAGAAAATTGGCTATTTACTATTTTTATTATACCGGTAGAACTTTATGAAGTAGTACTTGCTGGCATGTGCGCGGCTAAGCAGGTCGTAAGTCCTGTTTCAATATGGCAACATGAATTTTGTTGACTTGTAAAATCTGAACTTGTATTCTATTGTTAATAAAGAAGTAGTATGATATATTTACTTCTTTGATTTGTATACCCCTTCTTTCATTTCAGGCACAGGTCTCTAGGAGAGTTCCCTCTCTCAGGGGATGATCCCCACTATAAAAATTGTTTAGGTATCCTGTGTGATTTGTGTGCTCCTTCTTTCATTTCAGCTACAGGTCAGAACTTGTAAGAATATTTTTAAGTGTCGCCTCTCTTGAGGCGACTTAAAACTTAGAAATATTTGAACAAGACCTTATAAGGAGTTCCCTCTCTCTGGGGGTGATCCCCCACCATAAAAATTGTTGATATGCCTGAGAATCCTGGGGATGAAGCGCAGAGACATCGTAGCTGTAGGATGGGCCGGGAGCAATGGACGCACCGAAGCAGTGGGCGCTCTGATCGACCTGTAGACTGTCTTATAACGACACGTGGCCAAAAAATTTAAAAATTCCGTCACCCCTGTAGTACTCTATACTCTATTCTTTTTCTCTTCTTATTTTTCCTATTCTCTCCTGCTGCTCTCTACTTACTCATTTTCCTAACTCCTCCACCATCTTCTATACTTATTCCTATTGTTGTTGCTTTGTTGTACTCTGCTTTTCAAGTTAGTTTTGAATCATTCGAATCTTGACTTTTTGTGGTATGCAACCCACATTTCTTAAATTTCTTATTATTTAATAAAATTGCCTTCTACAACTGAGATTCGATCCATGAACCTCCAGCATGCTAGCATATGCACATGCCACTTGAGCCACAACGCTCACTTATCAAACGCTATTCGTTTCAGGTATTAATGTTGTTCTTTATCTCCGCTTTTTAAAAACAACATTTATCTATCACTTGTACGCATTTCAAACATGGATAATCAAATATGATCTTTAAATCTAATTCTGAAAACAACCATAGGAACACAGAGAGATAACTGCTTCAAAATATACTATTAAATTAAATTTTATTCCAACTCATATAATCAAGATAGTACATACACAAATTTAATTATGTTACAAGAAATTTAAGTACCTGTGTTCAACGTTACTTGTAAAAGTTACCTAAGTTACAAGTTACACTTACTTGAATGTTTAAACTTCACAAACTGATACGGAAAAGATTTTACGGACTTCATTCCACACGGGAAACAATCGTAGTATATTTCCACGATTGAATTAATTAAAAAATGCACCAAAGTTTATAAATCCAGTAAGAATTCTTCGTATCGACCAGAGATAACCGACGGGCGACTGAAAACACGTGCGCACATTGAAAGAACAACTTAATTTATACTTCCACGCGCGATAACTTATTAATTACACGTCGCATACATCTATCAATGCTAAATTCTATCCATGCTATTACGAGTACATTAACATCTCAAGAAACCCGATTAATAACTATGCAGATAGACGCACAAATAAAACACGTGTTCACAAATTGTCAGCCGACGTAAACATCTAGTTGGGGACAGCAGGTAGATAATTCTAGTATTGGTTTTTGGTATCATAATATACTCGTAAACTTGCAATACTACCCGATGGAGAATTTAATTCCGCATCTCTAGGCGCCGCGCTTTGTAGCATAAGCCGCCGAAATCGCGTGCAAACTCGATAAATACAAACACTTCACGAAAAATAGTGAAGAAATCACTCTTTTAAGCAAATTTTTTCGGGTTGCAGGTCGAATTCCTGCATCAAACGAATACAACCCGACGGTGAATTTAATTTGACATCACTAAAGATCGCGCGGAAATTTCTAAGTCGCGTCTCTCGCGAAAAAACTCTAACAATTTCACTTTGCATAAGAAAATCCCATTTAACACCCCAATTTTCGGATTTACCAATGCGTCATTCTCGCAACAAATTAATACTACCTCACGGAGCATTTAATTTAACACCTATAGAGACGTCCCTTTTGCGAGTTAAAGCTAGACATCAGTGCTGCAACTACCAAACACCCTTATCCGCATTACTACAACAAATAAAACGCAAAGTCGTCCCATTGGCATGAGAAGCAATAATATAATAAATGTCGTCAGGCGTATGTGCATTACAATGTAAACTCTTGATAACCGTTTTTATGTCGCTAAAGTTTGTACAAGAAGGTTGGTTTGTGGCAAATGGCTGGACGAATAAGATCCGTCCTTAAACCAGCTAATCTTAGTGATTATCGTTATAAAAAGTTTACATTGCATGTTATTCCACAAGCATTCATCAAATCAACCGTCAAAGGTCCCTAAATATATACAATTCTAATTATAAGTGAATTAAAAGAATGCGTTTGTGGTGTAAAAGGAAGTTGGTCATTCCCTGTGCGCATTATTTGTACTGGTTTAAAAAATAATGTGTGTGCGCAAGAAGTGTTTTCAAGATAGCGATAAATTATAGAGGTATCGCATCCCGTCGAAACGCAGTTGCTCTCCACCAGGCTGGAAGGTGTTCATTGGTTGATGTCGTGGTAGGCGATTCTCGAGTGCATTCTCCACCACAGTATGCATCTGTGGCTGTTTCACGCTCAAAATTAATTTCTATAATAATATTCCTAAAATTAAATTTGATATGGCAATAAAAATACATGTGATGATAAATTAAATGAAATTCCAGTAAATAAAAATAATGAAAATGTGCACTTTACCTTTCTCTCTCGCTGTGCATGAAGGTCGCTGGAACATAGACAATACGGAGGCCATTGCTGGTAGTCAGAAGATGATCTTCAGTTAAATATTTGGCGCAGAATTCACCAATAACTAAAATTAAATTACATTTAACTACAGTAATACTAGACAGGGTTAGATAAACAAAAAAGTTAACAACAATAACAAAATAAGATAACGTTCTAACCGTGAGTAAGCAAAGACCTTGCTTGCACAAATAGGTGAATTAAACGGGGACAGCAATTTCAGAAAAAGAAAATAAGGAAAGTCTGCACTTTACCGTTCTTTCCCCGCTTCCACGCCGAACATTGTCCATGTTCCCGGGACAAAATACCAAATACAACGAGGACACAGATAGACCGAAAAAGCGAAATAATATCCCAACACACGTTGCAAGACGTTGAAGGTACATGTATACCTGTATATCGCGAGCGTGCAGTGTAAACATTGCATTTTTAAAATGTACTCTTGCCATACAATAAAATAAAGAAAAAACCAAAATATGACAAAAGGGTTCCCAAGATATGGCGAAAATTGCAAGAAAAGGCGTAACTTTGGCGGCCATTTTGAGGCAGTTACGACCGAATTTCGCAAAGCTTCAAGGGTTCATTTTAAAAACGTACTCTTGCTATACAATAAAATAGAGAAAAAACTAAAATATGACAAAGGGTTCCCGAGATATGGCCTGTTTTCCACCGCCTGTTTTGAAAATTGCAAGAAAAGGCGTAACTTTGGCGGCCATTTTCAGGCATTTAAGACCGAATTTCGCAGAGCTTCAGGGGTGCATTTTAAAAATGCACTCTTGCCCTACAATAAAATAAAGAAAAAGAGAACATATGACAAAGGGTTCCCGAGATACGGCCTGTTTTCCACCGCGTGTTTTGAAAATTGCAAGTAAAGGGCAAACTTTGGCGGCCATTTTGCGGCAGTTACGACCGAATTACGTGGGGGGTCAGGGGTGCATTTTAAAAATGCCCTCTTTTCCTATCATAAAATAAGGAAATAGCTAAAATATGACAAAGGGTTCCAGAGATATGGCCTGTTTTCCAGCGCGTGTTTTGAAAATTGCAAAAAAAGGCGAAACTTTGGCGGCCACTTTGATCGCAGTTACGATCGAATTTCGCAAAGCTTCAAGGGTGCATTTTAAAAATGTACTCTTGCCATATCATAAAATAAATAAAAAGAGAAAATATGACAAAGGGTTCCCGAGATATGGCCTGTTTTCCACCGCGTGATTGGAAAATTGCAAGAAAAGGCCTAACTTTGGGGGACATTTTGCGGCAGTTACGACCGAATTTCGTGTGGGGTCAGGAGTACATTTTAAAAATACACTCTTTTCTTATCATAAAATAAAGAAACAGCTAAAATATGACAAAGGGTTCCCTAGATATGGCCAGTTTTCCACCGCGTCTTTTGAAAATTGCAAAAAAAAGCGTAACTTTGGCGGTCATTTTGAGGCAGTTACGATCAAATTTCGTAGGAGTTCAGGGCTGCATTTTGAAAAAGCACTCTTGCCATATCATAAAATAAATAAAAAGGGTAAATATGACAAAGGGTTTCCGAGATATGGCCTGTTTTCCACCTCGTATTTTGAAAATTGCAAAAAAAGGCCTAACTTTGGGGGCCATTTTGAGGCAGTTACGAGCGCATTTCGCGGGGGTTCAGGGGTGCATTTTAAAAATACACTCTTGCCCTATCATAAAATAAAGAAAAACCAAAATATCACGAAAGGTTCCCGAGATATGGCGTGTTTTCCACCGTGAGTTTTGAAAAACGCGAAAAACGGGCAAACTTTGTCGTGTTCTGCGTTTTCTATATTACCCGCAATTAAAATAAACAAAGCACCCTAAATTTGCGAGCTATTGCAACACGCAGGTCAAAATAATATATTTAAATAAAAACTTACCAATGCAGTGACCTCCTAATGACGGGAAACATCATGGCAACAATATTCATTTGGAATGTAAACATCAAACGCAAACATATACAAATTATGGATATTAAATGCACAAATTATTCATTAACAAAACACTGCAGATGCATGTTACCACTAAATTGTATTGATGACTGAATACAATGCAAATTTAGAAAATATGAATCCGAAAAAACAGTACGAGTCGCCCGAAATACGTCTAGATACGCCAGCGACCGGCACGAAACTGGCTGCAATCCATCGATAGCGCAAGAAACGATGCGACAGTCCCCAATAAGATAATGTGCCTGCAGCATGAACCCCGCAGGTAAAAGAAATAGATGCGCGAAGCGGCCCGCCGATGACACGCGATCTTGTGCGTGAATAGAAACAGGCATGTTACCTGCGATCACTAAACTAACGACGCGACGACGTGCGGCGTGCGGGGATGGCAACGACGACACACGGGCATTCAGTAACAAAGTGTAAATTGTGTTCAAAACAAACACAATTCTCGTATCGAATGCCAACGTTTGCCGATAAATATAGAAATAAAGAATACAATTCTATTATATGATTTATAATTCAGGTAAGTGCCATCTATGAATGGTACGGATAGGAGTCCCGGAATTTAGATTAATAAAATTAATAAAACAATTAAATTAAATTCATGAAATTATTATTTCTTATGCTAAAAGATTGACCGATTTTACATCAAATATTTAAGTGATATTTAATTTGAACATGTATTGCTATACTACTTAGGTTTATATTTTAGCAATGAACAATTCCAACTGAAGTCTAAAGACAATCTATATATGGGGTATTCCATGCCAAATCGACCACTTTTGAACCCGACCCTTTTTGATTTAGCTGAAACTTTTCCATTCTTTTCTACCCTTTGAGAAACGTTTATTAGAATTATTTCATCATCATCATCATTTTCCAGGCTATAGCGTTATACGCCTTCTGGTCCTTTGTCTCCATTCATCTCTGTTGTTCCAGTCCCCTTCTGTGAGGTTTCTTTGGGACATATACCTGTGAATGCCTTCTATCCAGGTTGTTTTCGGGCGTCCTCTCTTTCTATTTTCCCATGGTATCCAGTTCTTGATTAGTTTTGGGAGACGTTCTTCAGACATTCGCTCTACATGGCCGTACCACTCCAGTTGTTTCCTCTGCAACTCGTTGATTAGTTCGTCGTCAACTTCCATGATCCTCTTTATTTCATCATTTGGTACCTTGTCCAGTCGTGATTTCCTGGCTGATCTTCGCCAATAGTCAAGTTCTAAGACCCTTAAATCGTTTTCCGTCTGTTTGTTTATTTGCCATGCTTCGCAGCCATACAGCGTGATGTTTTTCAGCACGGCGTTGAATAGGAGTTTTTTATTTTTTTTCGAGATATTTTGGGCCCACAAGATTGGGTTTAAGCATCCGATAACTTTCTTGCCCTGTTGTATTCTGTTCTTTATTTCGGGCTCTGTTCTACCGCTTGTTGTTATTGTTGTTCCTAAGTATGTATACTCCTGACAGATTTCAATCACGTTTCCGTCTTCCAGCTGCAATGGTGTTTCATCTTGGTTTCCTACACAGAGATATTTAGTTTTGGTCTGGTTTACTGTTAAGCCCCATTTCTCGTATTCTTTTAGCAGTTTTCTCGTCATGAATTCCAGATCTTCCTTTTCTTGCGCGAGTACCACCTGATCATCAGCGAAGTGTACTGTGTATAGATTCCTGTCCTCACTTAGTTCTACGCCCATCCTATGGCACTGATTTCTCCAGTTTTTGAGTGCTCTGTTTATGTATATATTAAATAGGGTGGGAAATTTTTCAATTCAATTTTTTCAATTTTTTTTTTCTAACCTCAAAAAAGTTATGAATTTTAAAAAATAATGACAATTTAATTTAAAAATTGACCTATTGATACGTTTTTTTCTTGAATATTTTTGCTTTTGAATGAAGTTTTTGAAGAAGTAGGCAAATTTGTTTTTAAATAATTGGAACTATAAAATAATCGCGTTTTTTGAGTAAAATTATAATTTTTTCAAAGTTCGACACTATAAAAAAAACTTTTTCTTTTGTAAAAAAAAAAAAATAATAAAACTTCAAATTTTTTGACAACTTTTCCCGCTAATCCCAGATTGGGCCGATTTTATTTTATATTTTATATAATTAATTGAAAGTAGAAAATTGTCATTTGCGGGACGTAATTTTTTAAAATTAAGTTTTAAAAAAATATAAAATAATATCGACCCACTCCGGAATTAGTGGGAGTAGTTGTCAAATTAATTGAAGTTTTTTTTGACATAAGAAAAATTTTCATTTAAAATGGCGAACTTCGAAAAAATCACAATTTTCAAAAGTGACAAAAATTTTTTTGGCTATATTATATTTTATTAAATAAATGTAGTTAAATTATTTTCTTGTATCATGTTTTTGATACATTGTGTTGATTGTTGCTTCTAATAATTAAGATTCCAATTTTAACATAGGATTTGTAAGATATTTAAGCCCCAGAAAAGCAATTAATTAATAATTAATTGAATTGTTTTTAAATGTTACCAGTATTAATCATTAAACTTAGTAATTACAATCGTAGAAAAAGCCAATGAATAGAAAATATCATACCATATAATAATAGAATAATATTTATTTAATAAGAGATCCATAGTATTCGAAATTTTTTTTTTGCCATTTTAGAAAATTGTATGTAATTTTTTCGAATTCGCCATTTTAAATGAAAATTTTTCTTTTGTCAAAAAAAACTTCAATTAATTTGACAACTACTCCCACTAATTCCGGAGTGGGTCGATATTATTTTATATTTTTTTAAATTTAATTAAAAAAAAATTACGTCCCGCAAATGACAATTTTCTACTTTCAATTAATTATATCACTACATAGTATAAAGTAAAGTCGCTTTTTTTCCGGTCCCTTTGTTCGCTTAAATATTTGAAACTACGCAACGGATTTTGATGCCGTTTTTTTTAATAGATAGAGTGATTCAAGAGGAAGGTTTGTATGTATAATAACATCCATTAAATAGTGGAGAAGTACTGTTATTTTTGAGGTTTCTAATGTGATGTCGTAAATACAAAGTTTTCGATTATTCCCGTCTGCTCTTTGTGCGATGCTTCGTAGCTTCCCCCTCCAAGCATAGACGTGTGTATGTGTGTACGTGTGG